ATCTGTTTCCCAAGACTGTAGTCCCTAAGCAGTAAGTGACAAGATCCCAGAAATAAGGCGGAGCTTGGTAAGAAAATCTGATGATAGCTGTCCAATAGGAATGTAGGTAGATTAAGGAAGGAATGATGACGTCTGACATTCATGTTGTTTCTGGGAAGTTTCCAGATCAATCATCTAAATAAATTTGCAGCCTATTCTGCCTATGTGCTTGCAACCCCCAAACTGCTAGCATTCTGTAAGTGAGGTTTATTTCGGAAACTATTTCAGGACAGTGCATAAATGTACTCAAATGCTTGTAGCTAAGTGTACTGTACTTTGCTGTATATCAGGTTCTTCAGTTTTTCCTGTATGATGTAAATAGACTTGTGATGTAAGCATAATTGTATTTTCACTTCTAGAAGAATGCATAGTCTGTCTTGGCACTAAGTAGTTTGATAGGTTTGTTCTGCTTTATTTAAATATGCAGTTCTTTATTTAAGACAGAATTTTTTGTACCTTCTCTCAGCATTCAGAGTAAAGAATGTCCAGAATTTTAGAATTATTGTTCTCTCATATCTGGGTAAGGATGTATGCAAAGTAAGTCTGTGTACACTCCCTCCTTTGGTATGCAATATACAATCTATATTTAACTCTGTACATACACAGTGCAAAGAATCACAGCATAGCAGCTGTTTGGTGGTAGCAACATAGGTATACAGTCAGAAAAGAACTTAAGATAATTGCTTAAATGACATCTCCTCCAAAATGCTAATCTTCCTGTGTGGAGTACCCATTGCAACAGGCAACATGAGCATTTTTATGTTCTGTGTTTTCTGCTGCCATGCACTTAATTCTGCTCAAACCGTATCGAAGAGACTTGAGAAAAAAAAAAATCAGCCATTAAAGACTTGCTCTTTGTTTTTTCAATCTGTGACCCCAGCAATCTCTTTAGCAAGCCATGGTTCAGTAAACTGGCACACAGCAGTAGTTCTACAGTGGAAAAATCATAAAACAGATGGAAGCTTTACATTTTTGTTTAGTTTTTAAGAGCAGTTTTTATAACATCGCTTAAAATCATTCTGATGCATCATACTGTTTACACTTAAAGCTTTGTAGCTAAGATGTTTACACTATAGAGAATGTTTTAAGATATTTTATAGTTATGATATTTAGATAATTGGCAAGAAAAAAGATAGTTTGTTGAGATTACAGTGATGTTGGTAACCGTGAAGTAACTTATGAGTCTCAATAAATATGTCCAGTTCGGTGGAAAGTACAAACTCAGTTAAAACAACACAAGAGGGAATATCTTTTTAGTGAAATCATTTCCTTTTCTTAATCAAAAGATGACAGCCACAGCCTTAGAACTCCCATCTGTAATGCACCACTCCACGTATCTGCATACGTAGCTTTTCTTTTTATGATTGATAAAGTTATATCAAATCAATCAGTTAATATTCTGCGTAAGTTCAGTCGAGTTATATACAAAAGTTAACAACGTCCACGTTCCACGAAGAAGTGGAAGTGATCTGAAGTGAATCCCACTCATTTTCTCGTAGTACTCCATTTTAAAGATAAGTACATGTGGCTGTTTTCATGTAGAATGTCTTCAGAGCTTAGTTTTGGAACATTAAAAAAAAAAAAAAAAAGTCCCCAAAAATGCATTAATCAAAAACAATAACTCTTTTTAACTTTTGTAACTGCTCAGAAGTGAAGTATGAAATAGTCTGTGTGTGGGCCACAAATGTTGGGAATGCAAACATTTCACAATAAACATGTTTAAATGAAAGTACTTGGCTAGATATACTGGAAGATAGTACATGTTGGGTTAATTAATGCATACTCCATAAAAATAAACCTCACTTTAAAGATCTGACCAATAAAAATCATTAGTATATTTGGATCAGATGTGCTGATGGATGATTTTTGTGTATACATTAAAGTTTTGTAAAGCGAATTGTCCTTGAAAAACCTAGAAACAGATTTCAATTTAAAGTCAAAACGACCTATTATGACTACTTCGTGTTCTCCTATAGTGATGTGATGAATAATTTCAGTTTTATCTTCAATACTTGCAATTGATTTACCATTGATAGCTTTAAATTTATCATTTTAAATGCACGAATTGCAGCTACATAGCAAGAAACTGTTCAGTTTCACAGAAATTGTTTGCCGGTAGAACACAGTATCTGATTGTAGGCATAATCAAATTACTGTACATTATTTTTCTTCGAAAAACTTCCTGATCTTAAATTGAATCATTTGAGTACATGAATAAAATTTTACTTAAAAAAAATAATCATCCAAGGGAAGTCATACGTATGTATATAAATATGTGAACTGGCTTTGCACTGTATTGTGCTGTTGATCCAGTTAGAAAGAGCGAAGCAAATTTTGCCCATCTTCCATGCTGAAGAGCGTCTTTCTCCAAACTGCTATCATTAAAGGCTAGGTGGTGATCAGTGCTTGACAGATGTCAGAACACAACCCAGCTAATATACTGAGTGTAGATAATCTCTAAGAATGCCTATTCTGCACCCCTTGGTCTAGGAGTCAGTATTTGAGTAGAGTAGAATCAAGCAGAATTTACATAGAGACTTTTCTAAAAATGAGGTGGATGCATTTTACTTCAGTCCCTCATCCAAAAATACATAACTCTCAAAAGCAAACATAATATCAACAGGACATATTTTTTAATTTGCAGTCAAAATACAAATTAAAACCTTCCCCCATGGTTCCCTGCAGCAAATGTTTGGCGAATTGTGACAGCAGCAGTAGGTATAAAAGCATTTGTGCATAAGAATCTTTGTATCTCTGTGGTCATATTGACTTAGTTAAAGACCTGTTGTAACTTTATCAGATCTGTTCTGTTGAATTTACAAAGTCGGTACTCTTGCATGTGAGAACCACCTTTGCTCAAAAACCTTCATCCAACATTACCCTGCACTATACAGTTTTAGGCATTCTGTATTTTAACTCATCCATTAGTTACCTAGTTTCCTGTGAGCACTATAGAGGATTTAGAGGTGAGGTGATAATCCTGTGTTCAAATAGGGTGGGATTCTGTGGAAACTGGGAAATACGTTAGATGGCTGCAGAAGTCCGACAGTCAAGTCTGATGTTGCTAATGGAGGGGAGTGAAAATGGCTGCCTGGTGCATAGTAGATAAGTATGGAAAAGGTCTGCAAATTGCTAGCAGACAAAGACAAGAAAGCTTGGATGGGGCACAGCTGAAGAGGGAAGAACTGGAGAGAGACAGGCAGTTGAGAAGGTCCTGATATTGGCAGGAAACACAATCTGCACAGCTGTATCCGTAGCTAACTTAAAACTGACATGACTTTCTTCAGATGGTGATATATATCAAACTCCTCTTGAAAGAGGGAATAAATGTTTTACCAAAATGAAAAATAAAAAGACTTAAAGCTGTTTTAAAACAAACTTACAAAACGCTATTTTAAAGGCGGTGGCTATACATGCTTAGAAATTTAGTTCTAGTAAGGGAGCTGCTGCTCATGGAGGTAAAGAGTAGGCAAAAGGCTGCAGCTTGTATTTAAGATACCTTGAAATAACCTCTAGGTAGAATACACACTTCTTAGCAACTTAGAAAGGCATAGAGGAAAACAAAGGCATCTCACAAATAGTTCACTGGCTTGCCTTGGTTTATGTAGTACATTTTGTAGACGTGACTGTGATTTAAATATGTTGGGAAGTCCTGACCAATGTGGTATCCTGGAAGTGGCTCTTGGGCATTTATCATACTGAGATCAACTGTGCTATACAGCACTGCTGCAGATGCCTTTAGCCAGCTCTTTGTTTAAAGTGGTTGGGATATTCTTGGTGGAAAGTTCAGAGTCACCAGTGATCCTGAAGTCTCGGCTGGCACAGATTAGTCCCTGGATTTAGGAGCAGCAGAGTGTTTTAAGAACTAAATCCCTGCCTTTCCCCTCTAGTCTTGTTCCAAGCTTAGCTGATTACAGGTCCAAACTTACAGATTTCTAGCTAACGAAGAAGCTGCTTGTGTATATATATATATTTAATAATATATATACATATATAATTGATGAAGTGATCAATATGTTTTCTTTATAAAGAATAATTACGTATAATAATACCACTATTGGCAGTTTAAGCTAAACTAAAAGTATAAAGTTTTTTCAACTCTGAAGGATGAGCTCAGTGGTGACAACACAATCAACTAGTTGGTTAAAGTTAAGTTCCAGTAAATACTTAAGGTTCAGTCCAGAAGTGCTAATTCCTACTGTTTTGGGGCAGTCAGTGGCACTTTTTGAACTAAATTGTTATATGTCCAGAGCTGTGCTGAAAAATTCAAGGACAGGGTGGGCACTCTACACCTCCTGCACACATACAGGTGTGGTTTTCTCCCTGCTGTCACCCCAAAGGTGGGCATGGAGTACATCTGTTAAAATATGCCAGGTGCTCCGCCGTGACACGTTTGAGGCGTGGGCTCGCAGGACTGGTGGGGGCTGAACTCAGGGCTGTTCTCCAGAGCTCAGGTCTTGGTGCGGGTCTGAGGGGGCCTGAGCAAGTCGGTAGTGAGAAGAGGGGAGAACAAAGCTGTCCTTAATAGCGTGGGGCTGCGTCAGCGGAGGGGCAGGCTGGGTGTTGGAAAAAGGCTCTTAGCCGGAGGGTGGTGGGCATGGAACAGGCTATCGGGGCAGCGGTCACGGCCCGAGCTGCCACAGGGCGGAAGTGCTTGGACCGCGCTCTAAGAAACGCTGTGGTTTCAATTCTGCGCGGTCCCGTGCGGAGCCAGCGCGCGGGGATTGCGGCGCTTCCCCTTCCGACCCGGGACGCTCCGCGACTGGGGCCGTACGAGGCGCGCCGAGGCAGCGCGCACGGCCCGCCGGGGCGCCCAGCAGCAGGTGCCCGCCGCGCCGCCGCCTTTCCCAGCCGAGCGCCGCCCCGCGCCCGCCGTCCCCTGCCCCGAGGCCTCCCCGGGGCGGCCGGTTGCCGCGGCAACCGCAGCGCGACAGCCGGGCGGGCGGGAGGCCCGGCCCGGC